CATATGGGGACATTTCCTAGAAGGGAGTAAAATCCCTTGCCAGGTTTGGACTGACCACAAAAATCTGGAAGTGCTGAAGACCCCGAGGAAGCTGTCCCCTTAGTAGGCATGGAGGACCCAACACTTCCAGCACTTCAATTTTTACCCTCCCCTATTTGCCAAGAGGGAGGAATTTTCTAGCGGATGCTTTGTCAAGACTGCCACAATACAATAGCGTAAAAATGGAAGTAGTTAAACCTATGCTCCCTGTGCAGCAGCCACACCGGTAACCATGAGGGCGCAATCAAAAAGCACCCCATCACTGGACAACACTGCTACATTGAAGTTTAAACAAGCCTTAGAGAAAGATGACTGGTTCCTCAGTCACAAAAATCTCTGTTTCATGCGGGAGGGACTGGCATGGGTAGGAGGTAACCTGTATGTACCAGCTCCCAGAGACTAAAGACTGTGCAAACATGCCACAATTCAAAGGCAGCTGGGCACTTTGGATTTGTAAAAACCCTACACCTACTGAAGAAATGGTTTTGGTGGCCCTCCATCAAAATGACATGGAGTTATGTGGCCAGCTGTCCCACGTGCGTGGCAGCAAAGTGAAGGAAAGGGAAAATGCCTGGCCTGTTGCAGCTGGTCGCAAGCCCTTCAGCACCCTGGGAAGAGATCTCTGTGGACTTTATTGTGGAATTGCCCAAAAGTGCAGGAAACACCGATATTTGGGTGGTGACTGACCTGTTGTGACTGACCTGTTTTCCAAGCAGGCCCATTTCATCCCTTGTCAGAAGATTCTGACCACCAAAGCTCTAGCAAAACTATTTCTGCACCATGTCTACCACCTGCATGGGGCCCCACAACATATAATTTCGGACAGGGGAGTCCAATTCACCTCCAAGTTCTGGACGGCCTTTTGGGGACAAGCCAGGGTCTGAGTTCTAGTCATCATCCCCAAATGAATGATGGGACAGAACAAACAAACTCAGTACTGAAGCAATACCTGCGATGCTTTATCAACTACCAGCAAGACAATTGGATCGACTTCCTGCCATTTGTGGAAGTGGCATACAACAATACTGTCTACTCCAGCACTGGCTTTACCCTTTTCCAAGTAGCCATGGGACACGTATTCAATCCCATGCCCAAATTACTAGAGGAGGAACCCACCATCCCTTCCCTTAAGTAATGGATCAAACAGGTACAAAATACCTGGCCAGTAGTCAGAAAAGCAGTAGATGAAGCCAGGGTAGCTTATGAAGCTTAGACAGACAAAAAGAGAATGGAACCCAAACCATTCCACGTAGGGGACCGAGTGTACCTGTCCACTCGATTCCTGAAGACCCTACAACCATCAAAGAAACTAGGGCCAAAATTTGTGGGGCCATTCCCCATCAAACACATCATAAACCCAGTTACAGTAAAATTGGAACTCCCCAAAATTCTGAGGCAAATTCATCCTGTATTCCACTGCAGCCTGTTAAAACCTGAAATAACCACACCTTTACAACCAGCAGCTTCACCAGCAACACTGCCCATCATGGTAGAGGGTGAGCAACATTTCAAAATTAAGAAGTAAACATCATGGCATGACTCAATATTTAGTGGCCTGGAAAGACCTCCCAGCATCCCAAAACGAATGGGTTCACAAAAAAGTTCCTAAGTTGCTCAAAAAGTTTCATGTACTTTACACAGACAAACCTGACCAATGCCTTTTCCTTTTTCTCCCATTTTATTATTTTATGTATTCTCCAAGTGGATTTCTCCTTCTTTTAGGGGGCAGCATGTCAGATCCCCTCTGTTTCACCTTTTTCGGGGCTCTGCCATTCTAGTGGGAGGGGGAAGGTTTCACTTGTTTGGGACGGGGCTAGCGGATGCATTTCCTTTATTTTATTCTCTCTGTCTTTGATGTATCCCTTTTGGTGTGAAGAAGGGGGAGGAATGTGCCAGGGGCCATCTGCCTTATGTCTGCTCCATTGTAAAGATGAGGCTATGCCTGGGAAATGTCTCTTATCTCTCTGGTTCTCATAACAACTTTGCACCTGTGGATTGGCTGGAAACGAACTGGACAGTTGGGAGGGGTTTGAAAAGGGATATTTTAATGTATTTTAATGCATTTTTCATGAGAATTCTTTAGATCTTGCCTTGCCTTTCTGTTTTCACTGATTCTCAATAAAAGTTACTCTTTGAAACAATGCCTGTTTCAAGAGTTCTGCTTTCTTGGGAGCACTAGCTGAGGCAGGACCTTACACAGTGAGTACATATACCTCCTTGATAGGACTTTGTTCACTGATTTCCCTGCTGATTGCCCAGGTCTGACTCTCTCACTCACTTTTCCATCCCATTTTCACACAGCCTCTCCCATTTCCCTAACTAAAGGTCCTGCGCTCTGGCCTAACCCCCATGCTTTCCAAGGTCTGTTGGTTGAACAGATCCTTTTTGCAGTTAGGAAAGGCCAGAGAGAGCAGGATCCAGCTGTGATTAGGAGAAAGGTCCTCTCATTCATACACACACATGGACATACATACATTTCCCCTCATTCCCCTGGGCTCTAAAGTTAAAATTTAGAGCAGACATGTCAAACACAAGGCCCGGGGGCCGGATGTGGCCTGCGAAGTGGTTTCATGTGGCCTGTGAAGCCATCCTGGAAACAGTGAGGGAACGGCTCCTGCTGCCCTGGCCCAGGCCGGCCGGGAGCCAATGTACAATTTTGTGGTGGCCATCTATGCTGAAACGCATTCAGTCTTAGCTCCACAAGGCCATCTGGAAACAGCGAGGAACCAGCCCCTGCTGTGTTGGCCCCACTTCCTGGGTGCATGCTGGGGAGGTGTCATCCTTTGTGAGGAATGAAGAAATGCACCATTGCCTGGAAGTGGCCAGCAAATGGCCCTCGCCTACTTCACATATCTGGCTTGATGGGCTCTGGGGGAGGGGTTTTGGCAGGCAGCGGGGTGCTCTCCTCACGCGCCGAGAGGCTGAGCCAGGCAACACAAATCCAAAAAGAAACATAAGGCCACCCAGCTCCCAGCCTGCCCGGTTTCAGCAGGCAGCGGGTCGCTCTCCTCACAGCGCCAAGAGGTGAGCCGGGTGGCGCGAATCTGATGAGAAGTGCAATGCTGCCTAGCCCTCAGCCTGCCCAGTTTCAGCAGGCAGCAAGGTGCAAAGCTGGCGAGCTTCACACCCCCTGGGTCAACCACTTGGCACTGTAAGGAGAGCGCCCCGCTACCTGCCGAAACTGAGCAAGCTAAGGGCTGGGTGGCATTGCACTTCTTTTTAGATTTGTGCCGCCCAGTTCAGCCTCTTGGCATTGTGAGGAAAGCGCCCCATTGCCTGCCAAAACCGGACAGGCTGGGGGCTGGGTGGCATTGCACAGGTAACGTTGACTCTCATGCTGCTCATGGCATCCCCTCCCCCAGAGCCCACCAAGCCAGATATGTGAAGTAGGTGAGGGCCATGTGCTGGCCACTTCTAGGCGATGGTGCATTTCTTCATTCCTCTCAAAGGGTGACACCTCCCCAGCTGCGTTTCTTGCCTGTTTTTCTCCCTCCCTCATCTCAAATATTTTCCCACCACTCTGTACTTAGGAAGGAAAGAAGGAGAGGGAGGGTCTGAGGGAAGTCCTGCCTTAGTCCTGCCCAGCTGCCCTTTCACCATCCCCTTGCCCCCTCCTGCTGGCCTATCCTGGGGGGTCTCCCATCCTATTGCTAAGGAAGCTTTGGATACAAAGCCGGGTCTGCTCCCATGGAGAGGGAATGGGCCTCCCTCTGACTTTGCCTTCGTATCCATCATGAGCAACCTGGATAAGGAGAGCAAGCACAGAGCAGCAGCCTTGAGGAGGAGGTAAGTGCAGCTGGGCGCCCTCTTGGGGAAGTGGGGCTGGGCTTGGTGCCACGGGTGCTCGAGGGCCAGGCTGGGCATTTGACGTCTGCTGTCCAGGGCTCCCGGCAGCCCACACCACCATCCAGGCCCCCCCACATGGCCTGAGAGGAACAGTGAGGCTCCTCCAGTGGACCATGCCTTGGCACTTGCCCTGGTCCCACCCCCTTCTACCAGAGACCCTCAGATCTGTCCCACTCCTGCCCAGGCCCCCACAGGCACCCTTGACACGAATAATGTATAGCTGGCCATGCCCACCCAGTAGGCCACACCCACTCCATCCATGCCCATCCAGTAGGCCACACCCACCCTGGCCACGGCCCCCCGAGGGCAACCGCAATGCTGATGCGGCCCTCAAAGAAATTGAGTTTGACACCCCTGATGTAGACATTGTATTATAATATATTATAATATAATATATGTTATTTTATATTATATATATTATAATATATGTTATTTTTGTTGCTATATTTTTAATTCAAAACAAAATGAGATTCCGTGGGAAAAAATAAACTTCTTTTGGATAAATTTAAAACAAGCATGTATGTGAAGGAGGAAACTGGCTATGTGGTACCTAAGAAATTAATTCATAAGATGCTTGTTTTCTTTGGACATATCCCAAAAAATGAGGCTTTACATAGCTCATAGGAGACAAATTCTTGGCTATTTCCAAAGTTTTGAACTTTTACAGATATTTAATATGGATCTGATATCGCATTACATAAAAAACATTTTTGTTCCTCACCACATATGCTTTAGAGTTACATTAACAACATATAGCAGCATAAAATTCAGGAGTGGGGATAAATGTAGCAAAGACTGATTATACAGTAATTTAGAACTGATGGAAATGATGCTGATTGTGGTTATTGTGAATGTTTTTCTTTCACTATCTTAGTGTAAGTAAAAGTAAGTTAATGAAAGTAGGGGATCCTTGCAAAGTAACAGATTTTTCATCCAAGTACTATTTTCTTGACTTCATTTCTTGTAATATGTGCTTTCCAACACCTTTTGGGGTTTATTTTATACATAAAAGGTATACTTTGAATCTCTGTTTACCTAAGCTTAAACATAGCTTCTCTAATAAGAATGTTAGAAAATTAGATTATAACATTTTCTTGTAATTATTTTTCCCCCAGAATCTTGATGCTTTACATGATCATCTTGCTACAATATACCCAGGAATGCGTGCTCCTTCCTTTAGATGTACAGATGCAGAAAAGGGGAAAGGCCTCATTCTGCATTACTATTCAGAGAGGGAAGGGCTCCAAGATATTGTCATTGGAATCATCAAAACAGTTGCTCAACAAATTCATGGTACAGAAATAGATATGAAGGTAAGTGTTAAGATAATGTCTCTCCAATGATTGATAGTTCACAAATATGTAAACTTATTTATAGCAATTTCTTTATCTCTTTTTCAAAAGTAAACTTATTTTCAAGATACTGTGTTCCCATTGTTAGGCACACCGGATTATTGTGACAATGGATCATTACTTTGTTATTCTATTTACAAATTTCAAGAGTTAATTTTTATTTATAGGAAGTTACAAATAGCAATATCAGGAACAGAATCCTGTGTAAATTTTGTTTAATTTATGGCTAATTGTAATTAATTGATCCAACAATTCTAGAATCCTAAATATGTTTATGATACAAAATCAGGATTTGCCCCACTATTTTATTATCTGACACAGAATGGGGAGAGGATTCTTAAGAATGGACAAAAATACTACTACTAGAGAGTAGTATTACTAGAGAGTTTCCAATTCTAGTCTTCATAGAAGAGTTACTTTGGAATACCCCAGTTTCTTAATGTAAACCTGACTTCTCCACTTGGTGTCCTTCAGATTCTGTGAACTTTAGTACAGGTGATGAGTGCCCCCTAGTGCTTATGAGCAAGTCCCGAAGTTATCAATATTGCAGCACCACGGCAGTTATTCGCCCTTACAAGTGACCACAGTGGCTCTGCAACATTCACCCTGGTTATTCCCTTCCTCCCCACCCCCGCGCCGGGTCTCCCTAGGCACCAGGCCTTCAATACTCACCCTGTGAAGATCGAGATCCTTCACCTTCTTAGCTGTTCCAGGCCTTCAGTGTATTCGCAGAGAATGGAGGCCTAAAGTAACACAAGATCATGTGAGAGCAGTGGGGCGAGATCTCACACTACTGATCTTACGTATCTTATGGTACTTTAGGCCTCTGTTCTCTGCAACAGAGAATGGAACTGAAGCTAGGGGATGCTTCCACGTGTCTCCGGAGGCTGGATCCGGGCTCCGGAGGTGTTTTCCAGGCCGCTGCCACCTGATTTGAGGCTGGGGAATGCTTCCGCATACCATATGCAGTCCGATCATGGGGGAGGGGGGGACTGTGGAAGCGTTCCCCAGTCTCAAATCCGGGTGGTAGCAGCCTGGAAAAGGCCTACAGAGCACGGATCGAGCCACAGGGGCATGCAGAAGCATCTCCAAGCCTCAAATCCGGGCGGCAGCAGCCTGGAAAAGGACTCCGGAGCCCGGATTGGGCCACAGGGGGGTTGCGGAAGCATTCCTCAAACCTGCTCAAATCTGGCTAGCAGCAGGAACCATGGCAGAGAGGAGACGGATCTTTTCCAGGTGAGTTCAGCACAGCAGGAAGGGAGAGGGGAGCATGCAATATCTTAGTGAGAGAGGCCTTGGGGGCCTGTTCCAGCACTAGGCCCTCCATGGCCTTCCCCACCCTGAGATACCTCATGTTCGCTTAATGAGCCGCATGCGTTTTAATGAGCAAGGGAGTGGTTTTGTATCTTGAACAAGATTCACTCTATGAGTTTTCGAGTTACCAGTGGAATGGGCAGGCTCTATTACACTTGTAACACAAGGACTACCTGTAACCATAATTCCCAATTCATTAACCATGCTGTTTGAGAAGTACCAATTTGGGAATGATTATCATTACCTGTTCAGGTGTGAGGACATCAATTCCTTCTCTTTTTGTGTCCTCTTATTTTCTTTTTAAAAATATACACAAATAATAGACTCTGCATAGACTATGTCAGAACCCATATTCTAAGAGGACCCCTTTCTCACTTTAATCCTAACTCTACTCTTTCTATGCTTTTGGGTTCTGCCATGCTCCTGGAGGGGAGGGGGGAAAGCACTGCGGGCTATTGCTCTGATTTCCTCTGTTGCTACACTGTAACACTTTGCTGCTTCTGCATATTCCTCTTTGAACTATCTTTCCCCTTGATGTCAGCTAGAAGGGGGGAGAAGAAATGAATGCACCTCCAGCAATTGGTTTATCTCCACTTTTGGAAGGGAAGGTGTGAAGAGCCAACAAAACATCGCTGCAACCCTGAGACAGCCTGGCGTTATCTGCTCTTTCTCACAACGGACTTAACACCTGGGGATTGGCCCATTCAAACTGGCCGGAGGAACTTTGGGGTGGGGTTTGCTAGGACACTTTTAACCTATTGATCTGAATGGGAAACCCTCAGATCCTGTCTATTATGCCTGCTATCAGCTTCTCCTGATAAAGATTCCTTTTGGAAGAAACTGCTTCCATGAGTTCTGCTTTCTTAGGATGAGGTTTTGAAGTGGGCCCTGACATTAGACAAGATCTGCAGTAATCATCAGCCCAGAAGGAAAGCCCTTACCGGGGGACTTGGCAAATCATGTCAGACAATGGAATAGAGAGAGACGAACCTGCTATGGGGGGGAAACCTCCCGCCGAGCAGACCCCTGCAAGCATTCCAGTTCTGGATCCTCAAGCTCTTCGGAAGAGGATGTGGTAACAGAACGCTGCCACAAGCCTAGGTGGTCAATGGGCATTGGGAAGAAGGACAACCGGGAGAAGAGGGCCAGAAAGGTGACGCTCAGATGGGGCAGTCATCAACCAGGCTGGAAGGAGGAGATGGAAAGGTCTCTCGATCTCAGCGAGGACGAGGAGGATCACCTGGGGCATTCCAGCCAGTTGCTGGAACAGGCAATCAGCATGATGAAGATAGCCCTCGACTCCATGAAAGAGGAGAAAGCCAAATCCTACCGAGGTACCATCCGCATGGGGTCCGGCAGGAGAGGAAATGAAGGGGAACCTGAACTCGAGGTCCCAGACCCATCCGACGGAACCACCGAACCCGCCACGGTTGCCACTGCTGCAGCCACCCCTCGTCGCGTAGAAGCCACAGACAGAGAGGGGAGACAACACAAACAGAAGAAGAGGCAACATTCCATCCAGAAGTTCCCTCCACTAGATGTGAAGTTCCGTGGGAAGCCGTAGCACCTGGGATTCTTCCTAACCCAGGTACTCAACTATATGGAGGAATATGGCCGGGACATTCCCACCAACCAGGCCAGGATTTACATCATGCAAGCTGCCTTGGGTGGCATCGCAGCAGACTGGGTTGTAGACCTCCATGACTCTGATGCCCCAAAGCTACAGAATTTCAACCAATTCATGGTCTCCCACAGGCGCAGGTTTAAAGATCCTTTGGCTGACCGGAAAGCCTGGGAGCGGATAAAGATGGTGAAACAATCAGATGGCTGGTGGCAGAATACACCCAAGAATTCTGAACCCTGGCCAGCAAACTGAATTGGCCAGAGGACATCCTGCTTAGCCATTTCAAAGATGGCTTAAACTACGACCTCTACGATGCCTGCCTCCCTCGGGGAGATCCTCACTGGCTGCAAGATTGGTACGTCCTAGCCGAGGAAGCTGAGATCGACTTAGCCAAGAGGCAACGCAGAGGAGGAAGACCGTGGGGGAAATCGCCACTGGAGCCGACCTGTAAGTCAACAAAGCAGTCGTCAACCTCCAAAAGAACCACCGGGTATTTCAAATGTGGCAAGGAAGGGCATTGTGCCGCCGAATGCCATTCTCGCACCCCGACTGGAAAACCAGGCCAGGAAGTCCAGAAAACCAGCAAAGCTGAAGGAGGCAGCCATGAAAGGCACAGAGACCGTTGAGTACCCCACCTCAGCTCAGCGAGGAAAGGGAACTCCAGCCTACACAGCGGGATCGTCCAACTCATCCGATGACAACTCCAAGGATGAACCCTTGGTGAGTGGACCCATTGTGCCTCTCACCAGGACAGTAACTTTGCTAGCCCCGACCATGCCCAAAGCTGTAGAAGTTAGGGCATTAATTGACTCCAGGTGCACCCACTGCCTTATCAGCCCAACACTAGTGGGGAATTTAGGAATACCGGTGAGGAGGCTGAAGAAACTGATTTCATTCGGTCAGTTAGATGGGTCCATAGCAGGGGGGATGCCTGCCACCCTAGCAATGCTACCACTTCAACTCACCTTGGGGGACCACATAGAGACTATAACGTTCGTAGTAACCCCTGGCATGGAATGTCCCATAATCCTAGGCATGGCATGGCTAGCCAAATGGAACCCACGGGTGGACTGGAGAATGGCAGAACTTAGGTTCCCAAATGGGGAATCAACCAAGGCACTAGCCCAGCCCCAATCAGGGGAAACCCCAACTGAGAAAGCCACAATAGGGTGAGAAAAGGAAATACCCGAAATACCAGAGGAGTATAGAGACCTAGCTGAAGTGTTCAGTGAAGAGAAGTCTGATGAATTGCCGCTGCATTGGCCCACGAATTGTGCAATAGAAATCAGACCAGGCACGAAACTTCCAAAACCTAGATTATATTCTATGAGCCCACTGGAATTGGAAGAAATGCAGAAATTCATAGACAAAAATTTGGAAAGGGGATTCATTCAGCCAGCAAAGCCAAAGACGGCCACCCCTGTATTATTCCGAGAAAAGAAAGATGGAACTCTTTGCCTCTGCGTGGACTATAGGGCTTTGAACGCCATAAGCAAAAGCAATCTATACCCTCTCCCCCTCATGAAGGACATGCTATCTCACCTTTCAAAGGTGAAGATTTTTACCAAGCTAGACCTAAGGGAAGTATACTATTGAATTAGAATTAAAGAAGGAGATGAGTGGAAAACCACTTTTAATTGTCCCTTAGGGTATTACTAATTCTGAGTTCTACCTTTTGGGCTACAGGGAGCTCCTGCCATATTAATGCAGCTGATAAATGACATACTAAGGGAGCACCTATACAAGGACGTGCTCATTTACCTGAATGACATCCTTATATTCACAGAGACCATGGATGAACATGTCAAACTGGTCAGGGCAGTCCTAAACAAACTACAGGCAGCCCACCTCAATGCCAAACTTTCTAAATATGAATTTCATAAAGATAAAATAGACTATCTGGGATACCGCATATCCCCAGAGGGCATAGAAATGGATCCCGAGAAAGTCTGGGCAGTACTAGAATGGGCACCACCCCGCACGAGGAAGCAATTGCAGAGCTTCCTGGGATTTGCCAACTTCT